CAGTTGGAGAGTAGGACGGTAGTCTTCAGATTTCGGCCGCAGCACTCAGGAGGAGCGCTGCAGTAGTCTTCAGCGCTAGGCAGTAGTAGTAGCGCTAGCTGTAGTCTTCGGCGCTGGGCGCCATAGCCATAGCAGTAGTCTTCAGYGCTGGGCGCTGTAGGTGGYAGGTAGTAGAGTGGGGAGAGACACTGGCGGAGGCCAGTGGTWCGTACCTGTGGCGCCATYGCTCCAGCTCCATCTTCGAGGTACCTGCATCAAGGCGCCAACTTCACAGGTTAGTACTAGAGAGAGAGAGAGAGAGAGTTCTTCTTCCTCTTCTTCTCAGTCCACCATCTCTTCTTCCCCTCTCACCACCTGCTTCTCAGTATCAGCGGACTACTACAGAGAGAGAGTTGTGACATGAGACTTGACGACATTGGATCCAGACTCGACATTGGGATTCAGACATTTTGACGAGGGACTATTTGGGCCTGTGCTGAACACTTGGTGTTGACGACATTCCCATCTTCCGTTCTTCTTCATCTAACCCCACCTCCTTCGTCTGTGTATGGTTGGGGCTGGCGCAGTCTTCTTGTGTGAAGCGCCAGACCCCTTCGCACCATGATGATGATGATGTATGTCCGGGGCTGCATTACATTATTGATTGTTCGGATCATTGGTATCTAAGTCTTCCGCTGTGCTATCTTATACTTTGTATTGAAAGGTCGGTTCTTGTTCTGGTCTGCACCTATACGGTATGCAACACTCTCCTGCTCCTCCCGGTACTCCTCCCCCCGTTCACTGCCCTAAACCGGGTCAGTGGAGCGAGACCCTCGCATCTTGACTTTTGCTCGCATTCATGGGCTTAGGGCATACTTAGGGTCCACGGTCTCACTGCACTACTGATCACATGCACAATGGCAAAAGGTGTTGTGGTGTATCTTTCCATCTTCTAGTGGAAGGTTCATTCTCAGGAGCCTCCCCGCCCCCCCTCTTTGTGGCGATCCTCCTCCCACCACTCCTCTGGTTCTTTGGTCACCTCTCCCGGCTCGTCATCGTCCCCCTCTTTCCGCCCCTCCCACCCCCCCTTCCCCCTCCTCCTTGCACATGTTCTCGTCGTTCGTTGTCCTCCCCTCGCTCCACTGCTGCACAAAAGGCAAAAGATATGGCAGTGGGAGAATCATAGTGTGAGCATGCCCTAACCGCTGCACTCACGAGGCTACTGCCCCCCCCACAAAAAAAAGACAGCCGTGTATCTTCCCATGTTCTACCGAAAAGGAAGCCACCAAAAAGGGAAAAAGAAAAACAGCTGTGCATCTTCTGAAAATTTAGCGGGAGATTCATTCTCGTTTTTCACATTCGGTGAGTGCTGGAGCCAAGGCCCAACGGGATACACGTGCTGAGAGCAAGCTACCAAAAAGGGAGAACAAAAACAGCCGTGCATCTTCCCAAGATCTACCAAGAGATTCAATCTCGTTTTGCATTCGGTGAGTGCTGAAGCCAAGGCCCGACGGGATACACGTGGGTGAGTGCTGAAGCCAAGACCCAACAGGATAACCAAAAAAAAAAAAGAAAAGGCCCAACTGGATACAGTTGCTGACAGCAAAGTAGGACAAGAAAAGCCAGCGGTGCATCTTCCCAGTTTCTACCGGGAGATTCATTCTCGTTTTGCACATTTGGCAAGTGCTGGAGCCAAGGCCCAACGGGATACACGTGCTGACAATAAAGCCACCAAAAAGGGAAAAAGAAAATCAGCGGTGCATCTTCTTCCCAAAATCTAGCGGAAGATTCAATCTCGTTTTGCACATTTGGTGAGTGCTGAAGCCAAGGCCCAATGGGATACATGTGCTGACAACAAAGTAGGAAAAAAAAGCCAGCGGTGCATCTTCCGATTCTTCCCAGGTTTTACCGGGAGATTTGTTCTCATTTTGCACATTCGGTGAGTGCTGGAGCCAAGGCCCGGCGGGTTACACGTGCTTCTTTTGTGCATTGAATCCTAACACGCACCAGAGCGTTGCTATGAACTTGTATTCGAACATGATCTCTTAGAGGCCCGCCGCTCGAATCCTGAAACAACTCGAAACTTCCCCACGAAGCGGCCGTGCGGGAAAAAGCGGTCCGCTCCAGAGACACCGCTCTGCCCGCGCGGTTCTGCTTTCCCAAGCATTTTCATGGGCCCGCACGAAGTGCTACGCTGGGCCTGCTTTTCCCTTTATCGGGAGTAGGGAAAAAGAAAAGGAGGCCATCTTCCCCTTCCAGACCGAATATGTGGTGTGTCCTTTCTGTCAATTTTTTGGGGGGCATCTGGGGAATGTAGCCGCAGAAAGAAAGCCGAGATAGGCAAGGCGAGACTTCCACTGTCTCTTTCCCCACCACCACGCCCCAGCCTCCACCCCACGACCACTCATCCTTGTTTCTTTTCTTCTTCTTCTTCTTCTTTTCTTTTCTTTTTTTTTAATAAACAGGTCCTCATGGTCCTGGCTCCATATCCATTCTGGGGAGCGTCAGTCCGGTTCCTATTCCCCCGGCAAGTCAACATTGGATACATCATGATACACGCTCACGCTTCCTTCTGTATGGCTGAAAGAACCCTGACCAGCATTGATTGCTGTTGTTAGGAGAATACTCATCCTTGTTTCTAACCTAATTTGAAATGGAGGAATGGCCCCTTTCTCATTTGTATCCGTGAAATCTGCGTGTTTACGTTTCTTGCAGCTTTCGGAGTTGACGGTGTTTTCAGCCATGTGCATAACAGAAGAAAGGGTCTGTGTGGTGATGATGGATTGATTCTCAGCTTGGGACATTCAGCAACTCATGTCATTCCAGTATGGATTGGCTAGACCTCACTTTTCTTTTCTTTTTTTTTTTTTCCCTCTCCATCCCTTTCTCTACCCATTTTACCTCTCAGATCTGTAGATACTAGATAGTTCTTCTTTTTTCTTGATTTTGTTTCTCCTTTTTTTTTTTTTTTTGGGAATTAATGATCAATAGTTTTGAAGGGCTATTGCCTGGTGTAAAATACCATTGTATTCGAGGAGTGAAAGACTTATAGCAAGCAACCAATTGCCTGTTGGCCATCTACACTCTGTCAAAAGCGTCAAACCCAATTTCTTTATTTATTTTTAAAAGAAGGAGATGACATTAATCGCTGGAAACTGGGTCCAGCGTCCCTCACAACAATTTACTCACCCTTCCCTCTGTTATGGCCGAGCGACCTGGAGGCATTAACAGGGACTCCCACTTTTCAGCTTTATGGTAACTGATGTTTTGCTGAAGTAAATCCCGAACAAACAAGAAAAGTACCGAAAAGACTTAATAAAAAAACGTGGGACTCCGACTTTTCAGCTTTATGGTAACCCATGTTTTCCTGAAGTAAATCCCGAACGAACAAGAAAAGTACCTAAAAGACTTGATAAAAGAAGTAACGAATTAACGAGGTTTACAAAGAAGGTCCAAGAAAGAATTCAACCGAAATGACATGACTGAATGAATACGAGCTGTAGCTAATACCCAAGGCATCAAAGGTGCTTCTACGGGATCCCAAAGCCACCACCGCCACAACCTGGCTCATGATAAGCCCGCCAACTTCCCAGCAGTATTCCTACAGTCTAAAAACACCAGGGAGTTAAAAATATTAAAATCCAAATCCGTATCAAACTATCAGTTTTTTTCTTTTTTTCTTTTTTTCTTTTTTTTGGCTGTTTTTGTTCTAGCTTAAGGTTGCTGTGTGCCAATTTTGGTGTCTTTTTTTTTGAACCATTGGAAATAGCTCTGTTTAGAAATTCGCTGAAAAGCTGAGTACGGACGCCACCCGGTCGGACTGGCCCGGGTGGGCCGCCCGGGCAAACCGGGTGGGCAAAAAAACAGCCCAGAATTTTTTATTTTTATTTTTTTGAAGGCGGGGTCCTCCTGTGCTCGGCGAGAGGACCCCAAATGTGCAATAAAATTCTGGTTTGGGGAGGGAACGAGTTGCCGGGGTGTGAGGGAGGAGGGGGGGGGGTTCTGGGTGTTAGGGACTCTGCATGTATGTTGCCTGCTGTTTGCTGCATGTGGGAGGGAGGGATGGCGAGATACTATGGCGAGGTGTGGATATGGGAGGGAGGGAATACGGCGAGATGTGGAGATGGGATGGACTATGGCGAGATGGGAGGGAGGGAGGGACGGTGAGATGGCGAGGGAGGGAGGGACTATGGTGAGATGGGAGGGAGGGAGGGAGGTACTATGGAAGATGAGGTGGAGGCGGAGGAGGAGAGAAGTACAAGAAGTAACAGAAGAAGAAGATTAGGAGAGTAGGGCGGCGGCGGCAGGGCGGTATGGCGGCGGGGTATGGCGGTCGAAGAACAAGAAGAAGAAGATGGGCGGAAGAGGAGGAGGAGGAGAGAAGAGAAAGAAAAAGAAGATGAGTGGGAGGCGGAGGAGGA